GGGGGTCACGAGGGGCCAGGGCGGGGTCTTGCTTACGTCATCCAGCAGCAGTGGGAGGCGTGGTCTGAGCTGCCAGCTCAGGAGCCGCACAGGCGCACCCGGCTGTACCAGTAGCCTTCTCAGTGCACCCAGCGCTGTGCCCACGAGCCGCACATCACCCTCGCCCAGCGCGCCCAGCAGAGCAGGCAGCAGAGTACTCATGTGCCGTATCTGTGGGGATCAGGTCTAGTGGCCACCCCGGGCAGACCTCATCCCACTCCCATGCCAGCCGGGTCTTACCTTCCTGCAATTCAGTGCCAGGTGGCGGAGGCCTAAGAGACCCAGCCAGCGCACCGTGGGCTCCGGGTCACGCTGCCAGGTGCGAAGCCGCTCCAAGATGACGTCTTCCCGCAGTAGCCGTGCGGTAGGCGAGCTCTGCAGCAGCTGGCAGAGGACATGAAGTCAGCATGCTCTTGGTCCCTGAGTGGGCCGGGGCCACTTAGGGTTCAAGTAAGCAGCCCCCCTTCCACTTTTTAGGGAAATGAGCTCACCCCGGTGAAGAAAGCTATAGCCGTGAGGCGCTGTGAGTTATCAGTGCTGCGCAGCCGGGGAAGCAAGTCTGCGAAGAGGCCTCTCAGGTGGTGGTCTGCATGTGCTACCATGGCACTGGCATGAACAAAGAGGAGCTCTCCCTCTGCTTGGGTGCCTTGGAGAAGCCCCCCTACTTCATGCCCTTGCCATTGCACCTGGCCAGTATCAAGCCTCCTCTAGGTGTGCCCTTTGGAGTCCCCCCTCACCTGGCCAGCAGCAAGACACCCTCCAGGTGGGTGTGGGCTCCTACCAGTCTCCTCCAGCCTCCCACCTGCTCCATACATGTGACCACCATGCGGCCACCATCTCCAGTGAGCAGGGCCTTCAATGCTTCCACTGTGCAGCTGAATTGGGAGCAGCAGGTGAATGGATAGTGAGAGCCAAGAAGGTGCTGGCCCATTCCCCACTTATCCAGGTGTCTTTTCTCACCTGGCATGGCTGTGTGGTGGCCCTCTGTGGGATAGGACCCAAACCTTAGGACTTTCAGGAGAGCACCCATCACGAGCTAACTCATGTAGCTGCGTGACTAGTGCAAGCAGCAGGTGTGGGTAGAAGCCTCGTGTGGCTCCCACACAGCCTGATACAGTCAGCATCTCCCCAAGGGCACGTGTGGCCTGTGAAGCAAGCAGTCCACTCAGGCTTGAGCTGCACTGGGGTCAAGTCAGGCTCCAGAGGGGTAGGGCACCAGGACAAGGTGAGAACAAAGCCTAGAGGGAGATGTGCAGTCCACATTTAATTCACCCCCACCTGGACCAGCTGGAGCCACTCACCGCCAATGCCTTGGGCTCAGGCCTAGAAGCCCCCTTCAGTGCCCACAGCAGTTGCACCAGCACCTGCCCATTTACTCGCTGGTTCCGACTTAGGCTGCGCCACAGCTCAGCTGCTGCCCTGGAGACACAAGGAGACCCAGCATGAGACAAGGGTTGGGTACAAGGCTGGGGTTAGGGGACTGCTGGACTCCAGTAGAGTAAGGGAGGCAAACCATTTATCCTCCTTCCCCCCAGGTCCCAGAGGAAGTAAGTGGCAACTGTGAAGACCACAGGAGAGCTGAATATGCAGGATCAGCTACCAGGTGGTGACCCTCCTGCAGCCCTGTGAGGTCAAAAACAGTGAAACAGACCTTGCATTATTTGTTGTTGTTGTTTTTTCGGTACCAGGGATTGAACTCAGAACCTTGTGCTTTCAAGGCAGGAACAGTGCCACTGAGCCAATCCCTGGCCCAAACTTGCATTATTTTTAAAAAACATCACCATAGAGAATTTTTTTAAAAAAACAATAACTTGGCCGGGCATGGTGGCACACGCCTCAGCACTCGGGAGGCTGAGGCAGGAGGATCGCTGTGAGTTCGAGATCAACCTGGGGTACATAATGAGTTCCAGGTCAGTCTCAACTACATAGTGAGACCCTGTCTCAAAAACCAAAAAAAGCCCAAAAAAACAAAAAACAAAAAAACTTCTCTAGGGTGAAATTAAGCAAAGGCAGCAAGAGAAACCAACAGAGTGAAAAGACAACCCATAGTGTGGGAAAAATTTTTTTCCAGCAGTTCTTCAAAGGACTAATATCTAGAATATATAAAGAACTAAAAAACATCAGACACCCCAAATTGAAAGACCCACTAAAAAAATGGGCATCTTCAATGAGCAGATTCTTCTCAGACAAAGAAGTAGAAACAGCAAATATATGAAAAAATATTCAACATCACTGGTCACTTGAGAGAGGCAAATGAAAACTCTGAGATTCCATCTCACTCCAGAAAAAAATGGCTATTTTCAAGAAATAACCAATAACAAATGCCAGAGGGGAAAAGGAACCCTTCTTCACTATTGGTAGGAGTGTAGACTGGTGCATCCACTGTGGAAATCAGTGTGGCCATCTCTCAAAGAACTAAAACTGAAGGTTGCATTCAACCCAGCTATTCCCCTTCTTGGTATCTTTCCAAAAGAATTAACAGCATCACACCACAGCAATATATATATATACACACACACCCATGTTTATAGCAGCACATGTAATAGCAAAATCTTAGAAACAGCCCAATTGCCCATCTACTGATGGATGGATAAAGAAGTTTTTTTTTAATACAATGGAGTCCTACTCTACCATAAACAAAGATGAGCTCCAGACATTTCTAGCTAAATTGATGCACCCTAGGGCCAGAGATTTAGCTCAGTAGTTCCACCACCTGCTTCACAAGCATAAGGTCCCAAGTTCAATCTCTGGTACCAAAATAAATAAATTAATAGATAGATGCACCTTGAGACCATACTCATAAGCAAAATAGGGCCAGGATTCAGCTCAGTGGCATCGTGCCTGCCCAGCAAACTCAAGGTCCCAAGTTTGATTCTCAGTACAAAAAAAAAAAAAAAGTGAAATAAATCAGACACATATATTTAAATACTGTATTGTTTCTCTGGTGTGAGAAACCAAAAGTGGAAAGAGAGACTAACATGTATAACAGACAGTGGGAAATGGGAAGAAAATGTTCAAATGAGAAGGGGAACAAGGGAGACGGAAGGGGAAAGAAAAGAAAGGACAAGAAAATATAAAATAGAAGGAAAAATGGAAACAACTCGTGTAAATAAGGAAGGGAAGAGGGGTTAAGGGGGGATGAGAAGAGAAGTAAGATATATCATGTATAGGTACAAATTCCCTGTAATGAATGTTATCATTGTGTACATCTCTCTAAAACGTACCAATAAATGTTTTGCTAAAAAAAAAAAAAAAAAAAAAAAAAAAAAAAAAAAAAAAAA